GAATGGGGCGGAGCTATAAGGAGGGGGAATTGTAGGGTGAAAGATAAAGAAAAATACGACAGAGCCATTTAGAAAGCCGAGGGTGTGGTGGCGGAGCGGTCAGTGCGCTCGTCTCCGAAGCGGAAAGTCCGAGTTGGAGCCTCGGTTCAGACACGTATTTTTTTCTCCCCCTCCTGCCCACCCAGTAGTAATGGGTACCTGACTTCGAGTTGGAGAAGTAAAGGCGGCGTGGAAAGGAACTGGCCACCCTACAGACAGTAAAAGTTGGACAACGACTCTGCGATCTGGGGGAGATAGTGTGTGTTATTATGGTGGTGTGTGTGTGTGTGTGTGTGTGTGTGCATGCGTGTATGCGCGTGTGCCTGCATACTCGCATGAATGTGTGTGTTTGTGTTGGTGTGTGTTAGAAATTAGACCTATACAACTGTGAGTCTTGAACGACTTATAATCTCTGTCATTTGCAGTGATCACAGAGGAAGAAGAGAAAGAGTAGCTTTAAAAAACTTCATAAAACTCCAACCATACTCCCCTCAGCAAAAACAATCAAACATACAAAAAAATAAGTCATCTTGAGAAAAATAAAAAAGACTGAAGTCCAATAATACACTTGTAACATAGATGGATAATATATATATTGCTCCTTGTTCTCCGAATGAACTAAAAACACAAGTAAATGTATCAACATAATATGTGAAAATAAATGGCAACAGAACTTTCCTGCTGGACAATGCTTGAAGATCAGCAAAGGTTCAATGTCAACATATCTGACGTAACAAGGATTCGAGGTAACTGAGATCCGAGGTAATTAGGATTAGAGGTAACTAGAAAAAAACAAAAACCTTAAAGGTATAGCTTCTCAAAATACCACTACTACCAAGTACTTAGCCTACAAAACATATGTCTAAGAGGGAAAAAGTCATGTTATACTGATTTTTTTACCAACCTTAAGCGCAATAAGGAAGAAAAAGTTATTTTATACTGATTTTTTTTACTAACCTTAAGAGCAATAAGAATGAAATAGTTATATTTTACTGATTTTTTACTAACCCTAAGAAGAATAAGGAAGAAAAAGTTATTTTATACTGATTTTTTTACTAACCTTAAGAGCAATAAGGAGGAAAAAGTTATTTTAAGCTGATTTTTTAAACTAACATTAAGAGCAAAAAAAGTCTACAGCATGTAAGACAAAGAAAATATTAGAGCTGAACAAGAATGATACCAGGTATATCAAAGCTGATGGACTAATGTGAAATTTTCAAGTGATAATGATAAAAAACAGTCCCTCTGAGTCTGTCATGTGACTTGTGAAAAGAAATTCAGTCGTAGGCCTGCTGTCTCAGCACTATTGAAGTGTTTACTTTGCACTATAACAACTTTTGAGGCCGTTAAGGTGAAAAGAAAAAGCGCCCACCATTTTATCCGCCAAGTCCCAAAACAAACATCCTCAGCTCCTCGGTAAAGTAGCAACTGACAAAACGTTGAAATCACCGAGCCAACACAAGATTTGTAGATTTATGATGGAGGTAGGTCTAGCTTGATGCCAGTTTGTTACTTGTGGCTCCCCCCTGAAGGCACAACTGGTAGAGAGGCAGCAGTTGTTGTATTCCTTTGCTCATTTGAAGCACATTTTGAGTTAGACAACCCGTCACATGCTGGGAGATTTAGACAACTACTCCCAAAGTCAGTTTCCCCGTTTTCACTACTTTTGTGCAATATGTTTTTTGTAGAAATAGTTAAAAACGAGCAGTTTTCTTTGCTTCTAGCATCTAATTTGACAGGAACCACACCTACTTCAGCTCTGTTGCTTGTTTCTAAGAGTGAAAGGTTGTTCATATCTCCACCACTCCTCGTTTGGGAAGGTTGGAAAGACTGCAGTTTCCGCGGTCTGTGATGGACTAGAATGGTGCCGCACCTTGGATTGCTTTCAATCATTTCATTCTCCATACATGCAGTATACTCCTGCTCATAAACTTTGGCAACAAAATTGTTCAGATCACCTGTGCTCGGTCTACCCTTCAAATCTGCACCTTCTTCTCCGTCTGTATTAAGACTATCAAAGCTGTTTTTGGAAACATTAACACTCAACTCTTCAGACTTGCCTAACCTGAAGGGGAACAGACTTTCCTCCTCTTCACTCGTCTTGATCACGTTCTCTATGATTCTCAGCCTCTCCTTTATCTTTGGCTTCTGGCCACTGAGGTTCTCTCGAGTCGTCAGTCTCGCCACCGATGGGTGAAGGAGCTGCTTCTGCCTCTGTAAGTTCAGCCTGCGGTTATAGAAAACATCTCCCTTACAGTTCTGGAGCTCTCCAGGAAACTCCACTTGGCTGTGACCGGCGGGTTTCAAAGAGGCCAGAATGTTTGTTGAGTAAGACTTGGGACAGTTTCTTCTCTCAGCCACACTCAAGTTCGGCAGGCTCTCGGAGACGCTGTTTTGCTGACTCCCGAGGGGACGCTTTTTAAGGGCGAATTCCGACCTAAGGGAAGAGGCGCTGCGAGTACCCTCGGTCCACGGTCGTTCCTGGACGTTACCTCCCCTCGATTTCTTACTAGATGACAGGACAGACTCCTTCTCATCTGCGGTGTCCATCCCATCGTCAATGTCTGTGGCTCCCCCCTCACCCTCTCTCTCCGCAATGACCGACGCTTCGTCATCAAGGTCGTTGTAATTGATCTCGCTGGAGGCCTGACACAAGAGATTCTCTTTGTACTCGTTGTCTTCACTAGCCCACGAGTGTTCGTTCACTATGTCCTTCAGATGGGAAATGTGCTCATCGAGACTTTCATCAACATTTCTAATCTGCTGAGAGAGAGACTGAACTAGAGCCAGAACTTTACCCTCCTCCTCGTTTTTCTTGGCAGCCATTTTGCGGTTCTGATGTACGTTCACAAACTTCTGAGACACAGCAAAACTCTTAACCTCTTCCGTCTCACTCTCTTTTTGCTTCCCTTTTCCTGTCCTGTCTGTGAACTTCCCTTTAAGAAAGGAATTCCTTCTCAGTCTATTGTATGCTCTTACCTTTTTAGGCTTCCTGCCACTTTCCTCAGCTCTCCTCTCATCCAGACGTCTGAGATATGCCGTTGGCGGGTTGCGCAATGGATGTACCACTCCGAGGTTGTTCAATAAAGACATTTTTTTCAGAGTCCTCAGATATGCATTCATGTTTTTCATAAATACAGGATATTTCACAACATCTCTGCGCACCACGCGCTTGATTCTCTCCAGCTCATCGTAACAAACTTTGCCTGACATCAAAACATAGAAGTCAATGTTGTCCATATTGCGTAGAATAGTGACTGCCCCTGGAAAAGAATTTAAGACAATAATATGAGTAAACTCCTGAAAGAGAAAAGAATTCAACCCACTACTTCATTCGCAATCAATCCAAAAATCTGTCATTCCAGTAAAAAGCTGTTACTCCATTTTTTTTTCTCTTCATTTTGTAAAGCAAGGAGTAACGGCGGTATTTCTTTTTCTTGTGACTAGAAAAGGCGAATATACAGTCAAACCTACTTTAATGGCCACCTCTACAAATGTCAACTTCCCATTTCCCCATTTGCATTTTTTTTTTTACATTGTAATGACCCTGAGTAAAACATTTACCTGTCTAAGACAGCTACTTTTCTAAGTAAAAATGTGTGGCTGCTTAGATATATCCCTTCATTCATTGCAATCCTATTCAAAAGAAAGATGAGCCAGTTGAAAAACTATGATGTGCACGCGGTCCAGACAAGGGAGATGGGAACCTTTTAGGAATTTGTACAGTAGTCTCCGCCTACGATCCCACAATGGAGACTACTGTCCATGGATTTCTGTAAAAAGCCTCAAGATGTCTGTACAAGGCAGTAAGCGTATAAAATTGATCTACGTTATTAGAATTACTCTCATCACACAAGTATAAACTGATAAAATACAACAAAAAAATTCATATATAGCCATTTAAGGACGAAAGTAATAGTTTTCCCCACCCTCATATTCTTTCTTCCTCACTCCCTCTCATAACACGTATGCTTTCTTCTCCACTCACCCTCATATTCTTTCTTCTCCACTCACCCTCATATTCTTTCTTCTCCACTCACCCTCATATTCTTTCTTCTCCACTCACCCTCATATTCTTTCTTCTCCACTCACCCTCATATTCTTTCTTCTCCACTCGCCCTCATATTCTTTCTTCTCCACTCACCCTCATATTCTTTCTTCCTCACTCCCTCTCATAACACGTATGCTTTCTTCTCCACTCACCCTCATATTCTTTCTTCTCCACTCACCCTCACCCTCTTATTCTTTCTTGTTCACTCACCCTCAAAATAACATTGATCATTGCCAAAGCCTCCCAGGTCATTGGGATCAGCGAGACCACGTTTGATGCGCATCACCTGCTTCCAGCGGAACTCTCGGTTGGAGATATACCGTCCAAGATAGTCAAACAGCTGCTTGAAAGTCATCTCCGTCGCTTTACAGGCTGTGTCTGAGATGAAGGAACGTAAATGGGATATAACAATAAATAATAACAATAATAATAATAATGATAATAATAATAATGATAATAATAACACTAATAATAATAATAATTAAAATAATAATAATAATGATGATAATGATAATACAGTGATAAGAACAATAAGAATGATGATGATGATGATGATGATGATGATGATGATGATGAAAATAATAATAATAATAATAATAATAATAATAATAATAATAATAATAATAATAACAACAATAATAATAATAAAAGGCCTAATAATAATGATAATAATAATAATAAAATCATTTGTATAGCACCCTCTCCCTGGTGTCTCTTAGGATTTCACAATAAAATAGAGTGAGAAAATTTGACAGCTTCCTAAAAGACATGTTTCATGCATACCAGACCACTCAATATACGACAATCCTTTCAAATACATACATAGTTCATGGAGTCTGAATTTCATCCGTAGCACAGGAGGGTTATTTCTATTTCTCTTCTGTATTCAAGCTAAGACAGTAGAGGAAGATGAAAGAAAAAATATCCCCAGCAATACTGTCTCACTGTGCAGGCATCTGCTGTGTAACGTGTAAGCTTTTTGTCCTTGTGTGCAAAGAAAAAATGATTCAGATTCCTACGAAGGGAAGTTCGTTTCATCGAGTATCTCCTTCTCTCTTCTGAGATGATATGTGAGGCATGCTGACAAAATGAGTTTCTTCTCACAATCCTTGAATGGAAAAACTGGCCAACATTTGACTCGAGGGTCAAAATGATAGATTTTCTATTGATGATGCCATATTCTTTAAGAATAACATGACTTTTATAATTTCATACTTGTGAATTGTAAAAACTTCACCTTTGAGCGGGGTGTATCTCTTTCCACAGGTCTTGAATCCTAGAAGTAACTAATTTTGTCAGCATGCTTCCCATATATCTCACTTTTCCTGGGTTGGCCCACTTCCTAAAGGATCAAAATTGTGTCGGTGGTGGAATAAGGCAATACAATTAACAATCAACCAATCCCACTGTTCACTGAACAGCTCAATCTGCATACATCTTTAACAAGTTTCCTCCAAATAAAGTACCAAAGAGCAGAAAAAAAAGAAGAAATGTAAGCAGACGTGCACCACCTTTGTACACAAAATACTGTGTCAGCCAAAAGGCATCGACAATCCTGCAGGAAATTAAGTAGTTACAGAAACGAGGAAGCATGTCAAAAGTACACACCTAGATGGAGAAGTCTAAATAATGTGTCAAACACTACCAGAAATACTTTTGTGATGGCATCGGTGGCCTAGTGGTTAGATTAACAGACTCTTAATGGTGAAGTTGCGGGTTCGGGGGTTCGAGCTGCGGGCCCGACATTGTGTCCTAAAGGAAAGGCACTTTATATGGATTTTCCGTTCTTCACCCAGGTGGGAATGGGTACCCGGCCAAAGACAGCGAAAGGTCTTGTCAGTATGTAAGTGTTTTAGCACCTATAAATAGCTGCTTGCACTGTATGCTTCCCAGGAAGTTGAGGTTGTTTCAGAATGCTCTCAGGTCTGCTGGGGTAATAGTGAAGCCCAGAGAGCTAGCTGTTGAGCCAGGATTTGTGTTATTAATACAAATGCTATCTATTATTATTATCATTATTGAATAAACAATTACTATAAGCAAGTGCTGCACTCCAGAGCAGCTTCACTCTCCCCCGTAGTGCTGTATTGATGGCTGCAAGACCTTCCTCAGTGCACTGTCCCTCGAAAGCTCCAAGACTTCGAATGCCAAATCTTGCACGATCAGAGAACCAAGGTTGAAAACCATCATTTACCATGCGAAACTGTACACGGTTAAAGGAAAACCGCCAGACAATCGTTGCGTTTTGTGCTATCCCTTTTATACACACTGTTATGACAGAATCCTCATTTAAAAATGAGCTGAATCCCGAATCAGTTATTCAAATGATTATAATAGTCTATTGTAGGAGTACCCCCCCCCCCCCCCCCCCCAATAATACTCGCACCAGTCTTTTCTAAGAATTCCCTTTTCCTTTAGGTACACTGTAAAAAAATATTCACTTTTTATCTAAGGTACAGCGAAAATATTTAGATCTTTTACTTTTTCTCTTTTACACAATGAAATGTTATCAATTGCTTTTGTTTTGAGTGCAAAATTAGTGCCTTTATGTAGGACCACACAACTATTCTTATATCAACAACAACAAAGAAACAAACAAAAAAACTCCTGTATCCATCTAGTTTCATAAACACCTGTACATGTAGAGGTATGAAGTTTCTCTAACCGCACTCTACCACAAACACTGGTATTGAGCAAACAAATCTTTAAAACTCTCCAGAAAAATCAAACCTGTTCAGAACCTGTTAATTTCAAAAGGATACAAAATGAGTCCCAATTTCATGATCCATGAGACATTTGATGCCACTTTCTCTCAAGTAATTATTTTCATCGGATCCGTTAATCCACAGGGAATACCTGCGCAGCTCGGGCTTGTTGGCGTTCACCACAGGTCCTGTCCAAACCATTTTCGCACTAAAAAAAATAAAAATGGGAGGCATAGTAGAGAAATCAGGCGCTCGTCAAAATAATGAAATCAAAGAAATTGCACTCTTTTTTGGCTGATAGGCAATTTTTTTTCTAATTTTCTTTTCTTTTGGCTCAACACTTTTTATATGTCCATTTTTAAAAACACATTTATGTGTGAATTTTACTGAAAAACCTTGATTAAAGGCATGAAACATGTAATTTTTCAGTCTTCAGAGACTTTAGCTATTGGAGTTACCATGGTTTTTGGCGGCCTTTTTCTCGCTTATTTCACCAGGCGACCTCACTTCCTTCAATCACAAATATCCTGAGTTCTATTCAAGATGAAAGGATATTTCTTTCATTGGCATCAATGCAAAAAATCACTTTGGTACAACATGGCACATGTCAGAAAAACCAAAATAACTCACACAATCCCCCCCCCCCCCCCCCAATAATTATAGCTGCTATTTTCACTTTATGATGTGTTTTGTAATATAATGGTCACAACATACTAAACCATAATTTGGGGATTTAAAAAATTATTCAGAAAATTATATCTGAAATTTTCAAAAGTCCAATTGTTAAAAATGGAATTCAAACTTGCAAATAGATCTAGTAATAAACATGACGAGACAAATTCAAAGAAAGACTTTAGAAAACTGTTAAAACTCTGTTTGAAAAAATTCATTGTTATGTCCAGTTCATAATTAAATCCTTAGAGGAAGTAACAATCGAGGGACTTCAGTATCTCTCTTACCTGCATGCCAGATTGTCACACCAGTGGATTTTAATAGACTCTGTTAACTGATTTTCCTCAATGTACTTCAGTAACATTGGAGTTGCTTCGTCTTTGGTGATTCGAGGTCCATAGGCATGCTCCAGAAAAAGTTCACCCTGTCCATACTGATCTCGCACTTTTTCTAAAATATACTCTGCTTCTCCTTGAAGGTCAAACCGGATTTGGTTACGGGTCTTACTAGCTAATTCAGCCAGCTGAAAAGAGCAAAGTAATAACAAAAACTTTCACCAAAAAGAAAGGCATACCGGTACGTACCAAACCCACCAAATTTAAACTGATCTTAAAGACGATGAAAAAAACCAAGCTGAATTAGCAAGATAGGGCAACGTCCTTTCACACTTGTAGATTATAAAGCATTTCAAGAGCAAAGTGTTGTCAATGAAACAAAGCTTTATCCAGAGTGGAGGATTATTAAAGAGGGCTTACCATAGGAACTTACTTAAAATTACTTGAACTCACGAAAACAATTTATAGCAAACAAATTATTAAAGTTCAGACTTAACTAAAAATAAAAAACAGTATTGAAAAGAGTTTACTCAAATTACCGTTTAAACAGTTCCAGCGATCAATATTCCCCCGACTTCAAATTCCTTTAGTCTCAAGTCCTCCCACCATCTTTTTAAGACCAGATAGAGAAAAAGCACACTGTTCCCAACATTTCTTGCTCTCTTCGTAGTTCTCAATATATTAACTGTATCCACCATTTTTTTCAAAGGATCTATGAAAACATATCAACATAAATTAATGAACTATAAAAAAACGTTGAAAGTCTTACCTTAGATGGATCTTGGACTTGAAATTGAGGTGTTTTGCCACTTTTGAGAAACTTTTCTTTCTCCTCTGCTAGATTCAAAGGCATTGATTTAGCAGGTGTTTGAAGAACAGTCTCTTCCACCTTGAAGGAGAGACTTTGGTATTTTCTTACTGGTGAAATTTTCTTTTTCTTCGTCATGGTGATTGAGTCTCTGTAAATAGGTGCCTGCAATGTATACAGATAAAAAACAAAGAATAATAAGTCTTTAATGCAGTAAGGAAAACTTCACCAGCCTACCTCGTTTTGCTGGATAAGCAGAACACCTGTTATTGACATTTACTTTGATAACGACAATATCTAGTATGCTATCATATACAAAAAAATATCAAACATTAAAAATCTTTTTAAAATATAATATACAACTTTTAAAGACTCAGATGGTGCTGGGACCGAAGGATAGCGAGTTTGTTTCTGTGTCAGAATGTCTAGTGTTATGATGAAAAGATAGCTCTTGTCTTCACTGCAGAGTTTGAAAACTATTTCCCCAAACCATCCAACGTCAAGTGATTGACAATGTTCTCATCTAGAGAAAATGTATTCTCATGTAGGCCTACCCAGCACTCACAGTATAAATTGGGCTTGTACTTGCAGCGCAGTTGGTGGTGACGGAAGCAAATCTTTCTAATTTCTTATACTTTATTCTTAAAGGGCAACAGTAGAATTCATTTCTAGCTGTAGCTGGATGCCTAATCTCCTTACTCAAACCTGTAGAATTAAAATTCAATCTATCCCAACAAACAACAGAAAAATAGAAATGTGGCTGCACCTCATGAAAACAGCACCCCTAATATTTATCTCAAGCCAAATTTTCTGTCTCCAGTTAGTAAATTTATTTGATTTTAACACAATATATAGGTGTTCATTTAAATACAAAGAAACTTGCAGTTCGGGTGCTGTTCATCCATAGAGCACGGTTGTACAGTGCGGCCCCAAATTTTTAAATGTTCTATAGCGTAAAGCATCATCAGCAAGCAGAAAACAGAAGAAGCCAGGAACAAACACTAGCCAAATCTTTTTATCAATACAAGGTCCTCGTTGGCGCCTTAGCGGCCATTACTGTGTCTATAGGGGCGTAAAACATTACTGTGTCATTCCAACGTCCACCTGCTTTAACTAAACATAATAGGATCTTCAGCATTGATAATCTGACCTATAAATTGCTCTTTGGGCAAACCCAAGGGATGACGACACTCGTAGCAAGTTTGGCAGGACATTGATTGATATTAATAAGACAGCGCATCTTAAATGTGCTCCTGCACCCGTATAGTGACGAAACAACCTACGTGTAGTAGAGGGTCTAAAAATAAACACAATCTTAAACTGTACACTATATGCCCATAATATGTGAGCCTTGGAGCAATCCAGCGGAGTGCTCAAGTGAATGGTGATTGGTTCATTGTCTTGCCACTATTCCTAAATTTAGGTTTTGTTCTGCTGACTCTGTGTCTGTGAACTATTGAGCGAGGTGATATATGTGGCATATATATTGTTTGGTCACCATGTGTTGAGTGTTAAGTTGTGCCTTTGAATGGTGTTTTAGTGGAGTGGTGAAAAAGTTACTACTTGAGTATTCAGTTCCAATGTTGGGTGAATGAAATTGATTCTTAGCTAACAAATATAATATGTGTAGTTCCAGAGATCAAAGCGACAAATAAAAAGAAAGGAAGTAAAAAAGCATTAGGTCCACAGTAACAGATATAAAAATAATACACTATCCCATTTACTGTGCCCTTGAGTATCTTCAACCAGCAGTAGTTTAATTGTGCACGTCCACTTTTTAGCCCCATGAGCCGCCACCGATTCAGTCATATGTTGAATTATATCTTTCAATCTGTTACACTTAATCGACAGCTTCAAATCATTCTATATATATAATTATTTGTTGTTGTATATATATTATGATGTGCCAAAGAATGACATAACCTCACATACCCTTCCTCACACTCACAAGTCCTACATAAACCCAAACAGTTTAATCCTAATGATACAAACATCTGTACATTACATAATGTAGGCCAACCAGTATACTATATGGAAGAAAATTGCCAAACAGACTTAATTACCGCTCCTATTTGATCAATTCCATTAAAACATATTTATATATATCATTCATCATATCTATTTTTTAAATTACTGGCATCTGTTGTACAATGGTTAGGCACCTTAAACTAAACTTGCTGTTGCAAGCAAAATGTATTTTTTTTAAAAGTTCGATTACTGCATAGCATTGGGAATTTATTTCAGCTAAATTAACTTAAGTATTTCCATTTTTCTGCCGGGACAGATGAGCCCATGAGCTTGTGTTTCTCATGACAGGCATGTTTAAAGTAGCTCACCTTCAAAATTGTCTAATAAATTATTCAGTTTTGATGGAGGTCTAAACATATGATCCATCATCTATCTGTATCAAGATAAAATCATAATTTACCATGACCAAGAATTCTATATATTGGCCTCAGGCTTTTCGAAATCTTGCCAACACATAGAAAGTACCTTTAAAAAATTACTAGAAGTCTATAGAATTTGATTCCAAGCCATTTTCTGAAAAATCCATCCCAATGCAACTTAAACCAAAGACTTGATTACTCCAGCTTTGGCTACGCCGACATCTTCGTTTCAGCACTTCCGAATAGCTGAGCTGCCATTTTTAAATAACGTTGCTAAGGACAAAAAACAATGAGTTGAAAGAACGTAACAATCTATTAAAACTGGCTGAATTCTATACTGTTGCAATAGTTCTGCTGTACAATATACACTTTGGATTTTTAAATTTTCATAATATTTTTAAAATATAAATATTATTTTCAGTGATAATAATAATAATAGACCTATATTTTAGATGTAAATAGTTATTTTTCTTAATTTGAGATCCACGTTTTACAAAAAGTTACCGGGTTGTTAACAAACGGTACTTTTTTCGTAGAGAGTAGAGAGCTAGGTGCAGATGTTGGTGTTTTGGCTGGTCTAGTCTGTTTACTTGGTCTAACTGTAACTATTCAATTGTGGTCATATTTTGGGGACGCTGCTCTAGTAAAATGTATCTAATGGTATTCATATTCCTCCTCGAGGTATTCTTTGCTCTTGTCCCGAAATATGTTGGTGAAATATCTGCAATGGTAAGATTCAGATATTTGTTGTTGACACCTCTCTGAGCTCTCCTTGTGCCTTGTTGTGCCTGAGCCTGAGTCTGTCTTTGACTTTGTCTGCCTTTCTCAGCCTTTCTGTTTCTTCTTTCTTCAACGTCAACATGCCTGTTTCTGAGTGATGTCGAAAACAGCAGCGCTATTTTGAACACTGATAATGTTACTTGAGATACTTGAGCCTGGGGCGGCATGCGAGTAATTAATTGAGTTGAACACACTCAACACATCACTACTACGGACTGAGGGCTAAGCTAAGACATTTAAAGTTGAGAGTGTGAATGAGCTAGAGCTAGATCTAGATCTAGATCTATTTGTTACTAAGTCAAAGTAACGAACTAGATCTATCTTTGTACTGGCATTATATTCGTACTGTAGACTTTAGAATTTGGCTCTATTCATTTTGTAAAAAAATATAAAGTATAAAGTAAGTGTGGCTGTGGTCCGACCTAGATCTAGATCTACTTGATTTTTATTGACTCGAAAACCGTTGAGCCCACTACAGGTAGGATAGGTCAGACACAGAAGACTCGAAATCACGCATCCGTCGAACTGTGCTAATTTAACGATGCCTTTTCAAATTTTTCAAAACATAAACAATTTGATAGGAAGCATTATATTGCAACAGTAATCAACAATGCGGGGACGAAAGAATGCAACCCTACCACGCCTCTCCATCCTCTGAGGATTTGTCTCAGTCTGTTTCCCTGCAGCCTGCCATAACAGTCTGCTTTTATTTTGAGTCTACTTTCCAAAGCAACAGTGCCAAGCTGTCTTGTAAATGCCCAACAGAGAGATTAGTCTCAGTACTTGCATTCTGCTCCTTCATCAATCATAGGCATAAAAAGTGATACAAACAAAAGACTGCTTGGCAACCAGCAATTTTAAGAGAAGTTGTGAGTACCATAAATTGTGTTTCCATTGATGTATTAATATTAGTATTAGACTTACTCACCATTTCCTTGTTTGTAGTGGGGTCTTTTACATATATATTATAAAAAGTACATGCGTCATGTAGATATGTTATGCTTATAAAAAGAAAACCTATCTTAATATGAAGGAGGTCTCAAGTAAATGCACTGCCGAAGAAAAATTCTGTCTTCCTGTTCTTTAAGATACTTGAATGCTTTTTCTTTCTAGATTGGCAAGACTCTGTTCAAAATCACAGATAATGAGATGAGTGTCCGCTCGGAAATTGCTGACCTGAAGGAAGAGCAGTCAGGGCTGAGCGTGACCGATGATTTTGCCAAGTATGCTCGGCTCCAGAGGCGGATAGATAAACTTTTGTCTCAGGTCAAAGAGAAAGGTGGGTCATAGGTTTGTGTGGAGAAAGGTGGGTCATAGGTTTGTGTGGAGAAAGGTTGGTCATAGGTTTGTGTGAAGGAGAAAGGTGGGTCATAGGTTTGTGTGGAGAAAGGTGAGTCATAGGTTTGTGGGAAGGAGAAAGGTGGGTCATAGGTTTGTGTCAAGTGTGTCATGCAGGGATACTTGCTTTTTGTCTTGATCTTTCTGTTAGCCAAGAAGGAGCTAGTTGTTGAAATTGTTGGATTTTAAAAAGTTTCGGTGTAGCAGCAAGTTTTGTATCAATGCGAGATTGCCTTGTATAAAATTTAATCTGTTGAGAACGGGTTTTCTCCCTCTTTTCTTGTTCCTTCTCACCCTGTTCCTCCTCCTGCTCTCCCTCTATATCTCTGGTTACCGGGTACCATTAATAAATTAAAAATCAGGGTCATAAACCGTTGATGATTCTCATATTTTTCAGCACCCCCTTTAAAAAAAAATTAATTTTTCATTTTTTGTAAGAATAACTTTTTTATATTTCCTTTAATTGCTATGGATTGAAAACAGATATGTAAAACTTAAATTATTTTTTAAAAAATTCCTTTCCAGGAGGTGAGAGAAAGAGTCGGGTGACCTACTTGCGAATGGTTGTCACTGTGGCCATCTACGTTGTTCATGTAAGTAGGCTACCGATGGTCAGCTCTGACTTCATTGTCAATTGCTTTATATGTCTTGTGTGGGTTTGTATATTCCTGGTGAAGGGGACGGCAACTCCCGTGCTGGACGAGTGCCTCACACATGCCACGGCCCGATGTCCGCCCAGATTTAGAAATGGTATTATTTTTTCTCCTTTGCCCAACCCCTGGGGCGGTGCTACTGACTGAAGTGTCTGTAGGCCATTCCCAAAGGGAATTAATAAGTTCTTTTGCACAGTAGAATTGTAAATGGGCGGATTCATCAATGTCATGCTCACAACTGTGCCTGAACTGCAGCAGGAAACTGCTACATTTTCTTTCCTAATCCTTACCTACTTCTTTTGTATGTTTATCACATTCTTGTGACCCGCTATTTCGGGGGGGGGGGGGGGGGCCTTGATAGTTGAAGCAGACTTTGTGCTGTTGAAATTACAGAGTAAACCCGATTTCCTGTAAGGACTTCTCTGTTGACATCCACCCCTTGGCGCTCATATGATCTTATGCAGTTGCGAGTGCCGTAAAACCTCTACTAACAAAGCCTACTCTCCTTTGCCTTTACTGTGTCTACATTAGAGACGGCATCGTTTCTTTTTCTTTGCCCGTACTATCTCTATCGTCTATCGTATCCGTCTTGTCAGCCGGGCATGTTGTCTTGCAAAAGAACCGTAAGACTGGGCCCCTGAACCTGCAATGTTGAACCGTCTTCATATTTAGTGGGTGTTCACCTAATGCAAGCAAACAAAAAAGAGGATTGAGTATTTCAGTTTCTTTAGTTGTGATGTGGAATTCCCTCCCACGGCATTCTGGAGAGGCGTCTACTTAAACCAGATTTAAATCTGGTCTAAAAACACAATTTTATTTAAATCTCATTGTTCTGACTAGTTTTAATATTTCTTCCAACAAAGAGAATGATCAGTAACCACAATGATTGTCTTTTTGTGTTTGTAAGATTATGGGTGTATCCATGATGTACATGTATATTGGAAAGAATTGTTGTATGTTGGATAGGTCAGTATGCATAAAACGATTTAATTTATCTGATTTTATTGTGAAGCACCTCCTAGAGCCTTCAAAAAGTGATCTTTATAATTATAATAATTATTATTATTATTATTATATATTCTTTCAATCCGTTGTTTCATCATAGTTCATGTATTATGAAGTTGACGTCTTTTGTTTTTAACCTACTCTTGATATTGTTTTCAACAAAATACTGATTTAGCTTAATAAGATTTGGTAGATTTATATGTTTTAAAAATAGTACTGCATTCATAAAGTAAGTTAAAGAAATTGAAATTGTTTATAATACCCACATAGCATAAGCCCTACATTTTTGTTCATCCAGTGAGCAGTGACTCTGTCAAGTGGATCAAACTTTTTGACTTTTCTCTCAGGCATTGATCATGCTGGGGTTGATGGTGTCACTGAGAAGCCAACCTCTCCTTACCTTTCCTCCGTCCTGGGTGTCTCCCCTCACAAAGCTGGTGGCGTTTCCCACTGGTATACCAGGTAATTATTCTATTTTGAGATCAAATTCTTTCAGAGTATTTTAGAGTGTGATAGTTATGAAACTGAGTTGGAATACAATTATTTCGCAAAAATGGAATCGAAATTGTTTGACAGATAGGCTACCACAAATATATTGACCCTGAAGAGCTCTCTATAGGTGATTTGACTTTTAGATTGAAGAAAAGAGATAGGGCTCCAGATTGAATGTCGGACTCAAAACTGAAGGCAGTAGGGGTGAATTGCCCTTGGCCTTTATCCCCATGTTTTATTTGTGAAAATAAAAATGGTACATTATTGCTTTTGTATTTTATGGTGACCTATTTATTCTTGTATGTCCTTAAGGGATGACAAAATGATAAGGGAAAAATGCTGTACTGGTGCTTTTTTGTGTACTGGTGCTTTTTCCAGTCTAAATCGTTTCTTTCCAAGTATTGAATCTGCAAGAGGTGGGATGGTCACCTCACAAAGGTGGTGTCTGGAATAATGTTCAGTGTCGCCTCTCTTTAACATCCTTCGATATAACGGCATCCTTGTTTAGCGACATGGTGCTCAGGTCCCGATTTTTTCCCAATACTTATATATATATATCATTGGTAACTTTTGGTTGCCTCTCTATAACGACAACTCTCTATACCGACATTTTTTTCTGGTCCGGACGATGTCGTTACAGAGAGTACATAACACCTCTGTTATAACCACTCCATAACTGGTGGTGTCAATATTTTGATGGAAATATTTGGCCGTTTCTCTTTCTTGTAGGTGCACTCGGGCTGGGGTGTTGGCTTCTGGTGTCCAACTCCGTCATCTACAGGGGGAAAATGTTGGCCGGGATTTGACCAGTCACACTGGAACTTGCGTTGTGTTGTAAGAAGTGCTTTGACTCATCCACCGGTGGAAACTCTGTTGAAGGGCAGTGTGTTGCTCAGTACACAAGTACACAAGGCTCTCCTCTTGGGACCGATGCAGCCCACGATGACGAAAATGATGATTCTCTAACCACGGGAGAGATTGTCAATTGGGATATAATGTATATATAATATGCGAAAACAGTTTTCCTTGTTGTTGACGCCTCAAGAAGCAATTGTGCACATCGTTTGGGTTAGGGTAACGACATGTTCTCTTGGTACTAGTACGGTTATAGCTAGCAGAAGAGATAAAGTTGCGGTACAATTATTTTGCAAAAATATGACAGATTATTTGATTTTGATAGGTAGGTCCACCATATCATATGTATTATAAATTTTGTATATCAACAAATCTCTAATAACACCAACTTCACAGGGCCAGAGAATTTCTTTGTGTTAAGCAGGTTTTGTGATAAGGGAAGTGTTGTAATGCATAGATTTATAAGAATAAAGAGGGGAACCCCTGTAGGATCCCTGCACCTAATCATCACCATAAAATAAAAATAACTTATTAGAATAAAGATGGGACATTATACCCCCACCATCCAGGTACCCTTATATATCAATGTAAAAAATTTCTGACAACTGGGACCTTTCTCCAGGCACACAAACATTTTTTGATTAGGTATTGCCATCACTGAGTTCTGGTCACCTTAGCTTGCAGACCTATGCACCTGATCTCTCCTTGCGCCAACTTGTAGATTTCCACTACCACACATGCTGAGGTGTGTCTTTGGTGCACAGAAGGGTAGACGTAGCTTCTGCACGTGGGTCCACAGGGTGAAAGTTGAATGTTCTTTGAAGCAAGTTGAAAAATGGCAGTGTCACGCTGCATTTAAAATTTTGTTGCGTTAAATATATTGTCTTTTTTTTCCCTTTTAATTTAACCAGTGTGTGTATCTTGCTCTGTTTGTTTGTTTGAAAGAAAAAGAGGGAGTACAGTCGGGCGCAGATTACACGAACACGGAAAACTGAAAGTCGCGGACAGCTCATGCAATTTTCCATTCCCTGACTGACATCTCTTTAGTTTTTTTTGCTATCGGTTAACCTGAATTATGAATGTGTGACATGTCGAACACACTTGTCATTCCTTGACTTGTTTGAGTTCTCCATGCCTGACTGTACTTGTATATGGGTGCATGTGAATGCAAGTGGTGGGAGAGGAAGAAAGATGTTATCATGGAACTGGTTTACTGCTGATTGTTTTCTGTTATGATGGTATAAAGGTGGTGATGTTCTTTGGTTGAACTCGCATGCCTCATGAAAAGGATCATCTAGAAAACTGATTTGATTATTTTTTCCCTTTTTCTTTAAAATTAGCTGGTGGGTTTTGTTTTGTTTGTTTGTTTGTTTTTTCAAGTAAAAGCCCCAAAGCTAAGTACATTGGCACCATTTTATCCATTTTGCAAGTCACTCGATGCCCTATGGATCCTAATGGCCCCAGTAATGTGTTAATTCTCATGACAGTCAGCGCCCAATAACCATCCCCCCTCCACCATTTGCTTCTTTGATACTTGCTTAAAAGAAGAAAACCAAACACAAGAGCTACACTCTCAGTACACGAGTTCATTGAGAACACACTGTCAGTCTGGTGGTGCTACTTCCCACATGTGGGTGGAACATTCAGAGTATAGCTTGATTTTGTTGTAAAAAAATTATTTTGACCCAGTGCTTCCTTCGAGAAAGTCATATCATGTGTATATATTAGTGGAAATACAGTATAACACGGATAGGTCGAACACAGAAGACTTGGAATCATGCATCCCTCGAACTGTTCCTGTGGTCCCATTTGTTGTTTTTTTCTTCTTTTTCTTTGTAAGATATCCCTCGAACAACTACGGATCCCTCAAATTACTGAGGCTGGTCCCGGAAAATTGGAGCTATCTGTGTTATACTGTATAGAGTTGAGAGCAAAATGTTCTTATATCCGTGTCATGTGTGAATGAAGACATTGTTTGCCTATATGTTTTATCATGTTCATGTTGAAACTGATTTCTTAATAAAACATGTGTAATAATAATACTCATACCATGAATATTTTTGTTTTCTTTAGATCAAAAAGAAAATGAATCAGAAGAAAATTGATGAAAGTTGCGGGATAGTATTAGCTTTTGTCTGTGTTGAAGTTGAAGCTTGCCCATGATTCAGATGAGTACCTCAAACTCAAAACTTGAGAGTTATAAAAAAAGAAGAAGTACACTGACACATTTATCACAGTTGTTCAGTTCAAGGTCAAGAGAAAAAAAGGCAAAAGGAACAGAGAAATAGCAAGTGTAAAATAAGAGGGCTCCACTAGCGGTGTTGTGCTGTTTGGTCACTTGCATCACCACATACTGTTGAGATGGGGCTTTCAAGCAAGCTCCTTTGCCTACACTACAATCCATATGACAAAAGTTGGCCTAGATTGTAACAACAGCTATTAAGATAAGATGAGATGAGACATGGTAAGGTATAGATAAGATGATACTTTATTGTCCCAAAGATACCGTGATGTGTAACCCAGCTCTGCGTGGTGAAGTTGGTGCATCGTAGATAAAGATAAGAAGAAATTGAACGTTTGTTCTGGCTGCTTAGTGCAACACTCTGCCACACGCCTTTTGGAATAGTGACGTCTGACGGTGTCTTACACTTATACTGAGCATTGGAGATAATCTATTCTTTACATTTATAATTAAACTACAGTATAACACAGATAGGTTGAACACAGAAGACTCGAAATCATGCATCCGTCGAACTGTGCCTGTTGTCCGTTTTTTTTCCCCCTTCTTTATCTTTGTAAGATATCCCGTGAACTACGGATCCCTCAAACTACTGAGACCAGTCCCAACGTATTCAAGCTATCCGTGTTATACTGTATTTGGAGAAATAACGCACAAAATTGATAGGGTAACTAACATTAAGATTTAATGTAGAGAAATAATATTTGGACTTTTTTCAGGAGACAAAAAATAAGTAAAAAAAAAAAAAGAGAATGGTGAAATCTACATTTGAGTAAATAAGCAGTCCCTTCTTGACACATGAGTAGTGAGTAAAACAAATGAAGAGACTTGATTATCCTTATATAGTCACGTAAATATATTGGTCTCGCACAGAATAAAAGATTTAATAAAAAAACAGCAGAAAAACATTTTTAAAAACTGTTCCTTACATTTTTTAAAAGACAGGGTCCTAAAGCAAACTTGCGCCACTTTTCCAATGAAAGTGCGGGCAACTGACTGGAAAGAAAGCAGTCAATCGTCAGTTAACAATTTCACTTGTGCCCACAGACATACCGTCGTCCGAGTACTACAACCCTGTATCACACAAAAACAAAATTTTACAGAAGACGGAAAAAAACTTAAGTTGGAATGTTGCACTGGCGATGTTTATTAAGCTACATTTTATATCTTAAAATTCGACACAAAATCCGCAACGTTACATTTAGTAGAAAAAAAAAAGAAGTTTTTTGACATAGTGTGGGTTACAGGGTTGTTGTACTCAGGCGACAATAGGCTGTTATTTACCCCAGAAATCTAGTACATTTCATACCGTTGTACGGTATAAGTTCCGGTTCCCATTTTTGTGTTGTCCCAACTGCTGATTTGAATATAATAATCTACAGCAGTAACAGAGTACCATGTGTTCACAGTGAAGAAAAAATAATAATGCTGTTTAAATAAATATACAGACATCAACACAGTGAGAAAAAAAAAATCTTCACAACGAAAAGTTATTTCAGTCAATTAATGTTATGATAAAACAAAGTTGATTCTCTGTGCAATGACTACAAGTACAAGTAGAAGTCTGAATCTCTTCAACATATGGACGGAAAGTGATAAAACCTCAGACAACGGAATATTATTATGATACTACATGATAAGAAATCGTAGACATAACATAGTTCACAAATTTTCAACACTGAAATAAATCAATGATTAGTTCATTTATACTTTTCAGTCTTAAGAATTTTGCATGCAGAAATTAAGCATGAACAAAAAATTGTTCTTCAAAGCGATGATAAAGGAACACATATTGAATGGGTGAGATGTAAACCACATTTAGTCATAGTTGATACTGTGGTCTCCAGCTAATAGCCTGTCGGATAAAAGTAAATTTTTCCTCTATAAATGTCATTCTAAGTGCACATTCCAAACTGTCCAATAGCACTAATAGCATTAGCAATACCATTGCTCTGCTGTAAGCTGACAAAACACCTTTTTTATTCACAGCAGTTTCGAGAAAGGTTGTTTTTGGCAGCGTAACTTTTTAAAAATAGAGTTCTTCCGAAATTTGAATTCTAATTTATTTTTTTAAATAGTCACAGTGTCTCTTTGATTTTTTTCCCACAAGTAAGGTAAGTGATCAGGCTTTCGGTTTAGCTAATTAAAAAATTTGGCCCCAAAATGAAAAAGGCGTTTTGTCAGCTATTACGGCAATGTGGTGCTTCTGTTAGAAACAGATCAGTCATTCTAAAATGACTCATTTTGCTTGGAACTGACAAAAGTGAAGCAAACACCACATGCTCTCTTTTGTTACTTGTACTTGATGTTGCCGCTTGTCCAAGGAGAAAAGACTTATTGGGGCAGGGAAGGTGTTGGACAGAGCAACGCAGTGAGGAAAGTCAGTCGCCAGCCCGTCACAGGAGATCAGGTGTGACTGTGAGCTGGTTCACACCAATTAATGAAATTTGACAGAATACTCACTCTAGATTATTCCCATTTGATTTGTAAGTTCGCATCAGATTAGAGCACGCTTTTCTTGTCACCTGATGAGCGTGCTATTAGCTGGAGACCGCTGTAATATGAATTGTGAATATTGTGCCTCACATATTTCACATGCAAGATTTGTGACACAGTTCTCAAAAATAAGTAGTCTAAGATAAAAAAAAATGTGTACTGCTCACTCAGATGTTTTAAGAGAATAATGGACATTTGAACAAGAAGTGATATGACTTATCACTGGAGTTGTGTAAGAATATTGTGAAAGGCACGTTTTTGTTTTTACAGAATCGGCAACACATGATTGCAAAGGCAAAGAAGGGAGTCATATATATATGTACACAAGTTATATTACCATATTTAAATGAAAAAGACTTATTCCTGTCACAGTATTCCAGTCACATGTATGGCATAACATTGATTTGTAGCTAGTGCACTACAACCTGTGGTTCAAACCCCATCAGTGCCAGGAACTTCAGTTGTTTGAGAAGTGTCCTTTGCTTTGCCGAGAAAAGCCGGACTTGAAACAAGTTCACTGAGGTCGAAAAAGAAGTGAAACTCATTACATTGCATTTGTCGTTCAACTCTGTAGAAACCTTTTTTCACTCAAGTGGCCATGCTCAATGCTTTTCCTCTCTAAAATGGTCTCACTGTTTCGAAAGGGATTTTAAATCAAACTCTTTCAGCCTTTTAACCCTATTATCCAAACCATTCTTCATTTCCTGACTGTTGCTCAAGCCTTACCCTCAGTTCTTCGTGTGTATTCTATGGCACTGTAGATGAAACTTTTTTGGCTCTTAGTCTTAGCCCTTTTAGCAATCCGTCATAAATCCAACAGGCAAATTCTACATCAATATTTGATTGGAAATGTTTGACGCCTCCTTTGACAATATTTCAGTCAGTTTAGCTGTCCCCGTGGTTTTATGCACCCCGCATAATTTAGCAAAATTTGATCATTTTTTGCATAATTTCTGATTATTTTCCTTTATCATTCTTTGTTGAAATTAACAGAATCGCATAATCTTACATTTTTGGGCTCAGTTTGCATAATTTCAGAATTTTTCTTGCATAAAACGACGGGGACAGGTTTAGGGGGCAGGCTGCTTAAACCAACTGGGCCAACATGAGCTGAAAATACTCCACATATAATCGACTTTCCTTCTATGTTGCAGTCAGCCTTTTTTTCCCTTTCTGGTGTTATCAGGCATGCAATAGACTTACTAAATTATGGTCAGCCTTCTACTTCTAAATGAAATAATATTTCAGAGCGCAGTATATCAACGATAGAAGTGCAGCAACAGTTTACTGGTCAAGACGGTTCCCCTGTACGCAAGAACATGTATCCTTCATCCTTGTTTTTCCATCAATGTATGTGCTGCATGTAGATTTTTAAATACATAATGAATGTATATGTATCGTAAAATAAGGAGTTTTATTTTCTTTCAGTTTACTGCCGTTTTCGGGTTAACAATGTTCAGTTTGAGAGGGACTTCATTGTACACAGCAAAGTACATGCACACTGCAAGAATAAGAAGAGACAAGAACAAAGGATGCGGGTTCGAGCCTTGTTGTATTTACACCCAGTGAGAACACAAATCGAGGTCAGCATAGAGCAATCAGCCAAGGTCAAGGTCTAGAACCCTGAGTCTTGTCCGCACAGTTCCCAAACATGGAGGTAAGAGTGATAATATTAATATAAATACAGTACCACACACGCTGAGAAGGTGGGAGACTGTCTAGTGAAATAGTAGAGTACCAGCTTCAGAATATCACTTTCCTGGGTTCAAGTCCGGATCTTGAAAATTCTAAACTCTGGCTTTTCAAACTACTTTAAATCTCTATCCGATAGTTTTAGAGGAGTCTAAACTTTGACATAATAATACAGTAAAACACAGCATAAATCTAACTAACTTAGCCTTTTTGTTTATCAGGACCCAGATATAAGAAAAAATATAAATACTTCTTCAATATCCCTTCAGGTTTTATCGAAAGCAGCTGCCACACATAAGACAAAAGAAAAAGCTGGACAATCACTGTACGTTATGACACTAAATATCACACAACATTCGAAACTTGTGAAAACACAAATATACCACATAACAATCGAAACCTGTGAAAAGACAAATATTGGTGGAGACAATTCACAAAGTTAAGTGACAGGGACAGCTATAACTTATAACCTGGCCAAGCTCAGTGTTAAGGACAACCCTGCGCGCTGGAAACGTTTAAAACAATTATAGTATAGCACCAAAAACATATATATTTATTTATATATATATATATATATATATATATACGCTACTTAATTATGAAATCCTGTGCTTTTCCGTGATGAATTTTGAATAAAAATATATCAATTTTAATTCCAAATCATACCACACAATACAAATGTTCAGCAAACAAAACATCCACAGTTTATATTTCATTTACTGTATCTTATGAATTGCTCAAGACTCTTGATTCTTTCCTCATATAACATTTTTCACCAAGAAGTGACTACAATTGTCCATACATCTTCATATAGCCTACATTTAAAAACAGTAAAAATACAATTTAAAAAATAAGATTATTTTTCCTATAAAATCGAATAAAGTTATGATTTTAAAAACTACAATATTGCAAGGAAATCATTTTAAAAATTGTTTTTTTTAATAAATCTGGAATGGTACTTTGTGACATAAGTATTGAGTTGAACTTTATTGGCTGTGAGCCCTTTTATTATAACATGTGAATAATGTACTCACATCCCTAGAGGAATGGAGAAATAAATATACTGTGTTCTTGACTCCACACGCTGAGTGAAATGACTCAAAAACAGCTACATTGTATATTTCTCTGTGTTTGAAGCATATTCAGTGATAATGACGATGAGTAAAATTTCCAACTGTTTATACATGCCTCTCTTCATGTAACAAAAACATACAGTGAAAACACAGTGAACCTTGCATCCAACGAATTTGTTGGGTTCAAAGGTCAGCTACCATGAATCCACTCGCAAGTAGTCTAAGTGAAAATGGTCAGACAAACGTGAAAATTTAAGATGTCTATTTCTCAAGAAACTTCTATCCAGGTTGTATCAGTCTGCAATGCTCAGTTCATAACAGTTCCTGACTTTATTTCTGAGCCCCCTTTTCAACTTCCCTCATAACATCGATGTAGTTTAGTTTCACGAGAGAGATATTTTCTTTTCCTCAGTGCCATCCTGACCAGGAAACGTTTGCTCAGAAAACGGCTTATGCTGAGAAACAGAAAAGAAACGACAAACAGTTCACAACATCTGCATGTCTATCTCGTGAAACGAACAAAAATTCAACAACTATACTGACCTTAAAATTGCCCTGCACACTCAATTTTTTGCACCACTGCTATTTTTCAAATATTTTGGCTAGATCTTCTAAGCTTCTTCTCTTAAAAAATCAGATCAATAACAAACTGGCTGATACAACGAGGTTTTTAAAATTACAACGCCAAACTCGCTTTATTGTTACTGTCACGGCACAGAGCTTATGCTTCAGTCTGAAAAACAATACAATATAAAACAAAACAACACAACTCAATACAATACAATAGAGGACTGCATTCACATGTTTTGCTCTCAGCCTTCAAGTTCCCTGTATTTATTAAGGACTAACTGTTTGTTCATAATCATAAGAGACTCAAGTAAAAATATCCGCCTTCATCATGCCAACATACAACATGTGGTACAGTAGTAAGATAACAGTAAAAGTTTGCGTACATTGTTGCATCCTCTAAAATATCCACTTGCGGGAACGTCTCAGACTTTCTCAGAGAGAAAATATTTCTCGATGTTTGGTGAAGTATTCTACAACAAGAGACCTTGTCAGAAATCACAAGAGATAGCAAAAGTCCTACAAAGACAGAAAGAATAGAACTACAAGAAGCAGAAACTCACAAACTGACACTTCCGAAAATCAAATGTGATAATCGAAATAACATTTTGGTTTATTTTTACGAAAGTGTGCCTAATTAAATTTCTGACATATAACCTACTGCCTTTCGTGTCATTTTCTGCTGCATTAATATTTTTTTAAAAAGTTGTTTATGAACCTTTATTAGCCAAAAAAAAAAAAGTCATGCCCTCAAATATACAAGACCTCATTAACTGCTTGGGAACATAATGAAATAAATGTGTGGAAGATTGACAGCTGTAAAAGGGCTGAACAGACAGCAGCCAGCAGAGACATAGAGAGAGAGGTACTGTGGCTTCCCTCTATGTATTACTAGGCACCAAAAGACAAGAAAAGAAAACAAGAAATACTTGACAAACCATAGACGCATCACTTCCCTAAATAAACCCTGCACATCACGAGGTATCAACCTTGTGAAGGGAATCTATCCATGGCTTGTGTACCTCTTCTAAGACTGACAAATAACAGCAGGAACTAACCTGCAGGACTTGTATACAGGCTCTTTCTTCTATGACTGACAAATAACAGCAAGAACTAACCTCCATGGATTGTATGCACAGGCTCTCTCTTCTAAGACTAACAAAAACCAGGAGAAACTAGCCTCCATGGCTTTCTTTTCTGAGACTGGCAAATAAGAGCAGAAGGTAATCTCCATGGCTTGTATACACAAGCTCTCTCTTCAACGACTGACAACAGTAGAAGCTAACCTCTTACTGAATACCTGTTTCTGGCTTGATCCTCACAATAAACAAAGAAGAAAAGGACCAAGGGTTTTTATACAGCCAATAGAATAAATAAAAATGTGACAAGGGCACATACACCCACTCATACATCCATATCTGTATGCAAAATAATAAACAACCACCCAACAAAATATCATGTTTTCTCGCCTGTCAGAGTCACATACCAACGGGTCTGCCTTTGGTCGTATTTTGATATGTACAGCTATCACAAGTGTGCATTTATTTGTCAACAACTTCCAAGTCTAAGACGGCGAAAGTTCTCATAAAACCACTTCCTCGATCTCGTCGTCAAAATTATCCACCGCTGTCACAGAGGGCTTGGTGGAGAACGTGTTGATGTTCTGCTGCTGTCTCCGTCTAGGCATCATCCTGTTCCCCGCAGGAGAGAAGTCGTCTTCAATGAGAGCTGCCCCTCCACCGAAAAGTGTTTGAGAACCATTTCGCTCTGGTGCAAATGTCTTGTGGGTGCCGTTGACCTTGGTATTGCTCGGCGAGGAGTCCCACGGGAACGACGAGATGGTGGCATTACCACGTTTGTTGTTTTGCGGTGGCGGGGAGCGGTTGGTGACGAAAAACGTTTCGTTTTCTTCCAGCTTTTTACTGGAATTTTCCTTATTGCTGTTGGTCGCCTGGGGTCCAAACAAATTTTCCAACAGATTGGTCGATTTCTTCTCTGGCCTTGCTGCGGGGCCAGTAGTTTTGTTGACAAGATTGTTGTTCTCCAGTTTGAACATTGGCTCATCGTCATCGAAAATGGACATTGGCTTCGAGGTACCGGTGGGTTTCGAAGCAACACTTCTCGCTGGTCCAAACGACGGTTGGTAGCCCCCTACTTCATCGTCATCCTTTGATGCCTGCCGCCTGTTCCTCTGTCGGTCGATGTAGCCCACAGACACGTCTTCATGCGCCGGCTTTCCCTGATGCAAGTTGTTGATGGGTTTGGTGAACGAGTACTCCTTGCGGTCACTGCGCCTGCTGGGGCTGTCATAGCCGTCGCCAATACTCCCACCCCTCGAGTTCTCCTTGCTTCTGCGGTTCACGGGAGACGTGTTTTGTGGCTCTGGCTTTGTCCCCGCACTCCCCAGCTCATCCATGGCTTGCAGTTTTCGCAAAAGTTCATCCTTCTTTCTGCGTTCTTCTTGTATCGATGGGTCGTTTTCCAACTTCTTTCTTTCTTGCTCAATCCTTCTCTCCTGTTCTAACTTTTCCTTCTCTCTTCTTTCTCTTTCCAATTGCTCTTTTCTCTCCTGCTCTTCTCTACGTTCCCTCTCCTCTCTTTCTTTCTTTTCTTTTTCCTCCTTGTTTTTTCTTTCCCTCTCCGCCCTTTCGTTTTCTTCTTTATCTCTCCTGACTCGATCCTCCATTTCTCTCTTTCTGTTTTCTTCCTGCCTCCGTTCAAGATCCTGTAAGAGAAAACAAACAATAAATATTTTTCAGAGCATAAAACATAAACCATTTAAATGAAGAGAATTAATTGCTAGCTTTTGTCAGTTCGGAGCCATTCACAAATGATGTCAGCTCAGCCTGGGGGGGTGGGGGTGGGGTTAGTCAGTGAATAGTTGACAAAAGTTGACGGGGGTCCTTACAAAGTTGACGTCGACCACGATGCTCTAAAAGGTTGGGGAAAAAAAGAAATGAAAGCTGACTTCACTTGTGAACAGTCCCTTCCTCTCCTAAATTACTGCCTTTTGTTATAGACTCTAAATCTTTTTCAACACTGGTAATTGTATGAATGTACCACCTTTGTCAACACTGCATGTTTCTACATACTACCTGTAAGCGGGACCTCAAGATGTAAAGTGTATCTCTGATAGGACTGAACAGAGTGGATGAAGAGCTTGAAAAATTCCCTATACAACCCAATTTCAAGAACCCTCTTGTGAATTTAGTTTTCAGAGAATATCAGGCACATTAAACACAAATAAGTCATAACATAAAAGGGCCGGAGATTAGAGGTATCACTAAAACGTAACAAACAAAAAAAAAGAAGGAGGAGAGATGAGGACGACAGATGTCTGATAAGAAAGAAGGAACAAACCACACCAGATAACCTGCCTACCATCTACATACAATCTTTGATGAGGTGGAAAGAGTTGCTGTGCTGAATAACATGGCAAACACACTACAATGGGGAAAGTTCTCATACACACAAACATACACACACACACACACACACACACACACAAACATACACACATACGCACACACAACACACTTACACACACACTCACACAACACGTAAACACACATACACACACACACATACACACACACACACACACAACACAACAGTGAGGAAAGTTCTCACACACATGTTGACTGAAGCTGAAGTCAAACAAAAGTACAACCTGAAATTGCCTACACATGCACTCCTGGGGTATAGGCTCCTACATTGACAAGCGTGGTTTGTAAAATTCTACATGGCTTTCTGATGGTACTACAAGTAATGAGGCACATCAACTGGTATCAGTCACATAGGATTTTTGTTTCTTTCCTCACTGTTCTCATACATTCACTCACATTTCTCCAATCATAATCGTTACATCAGTGTCTTTGGTGTAGCAGTGAGATTCAACTTTTTTCTTATTTATTTGTTCTTTCTATCCATCTTTCCGATTTGTACCTAGTGCTTTTTCTACAACCCCCCAACTGCAAAACAGATCTAAAAAAGGAAGACGGAAGTAATGATCTACAGGTAACACAATAAACAAAGGATGGTAATCAATCATAGAAATAAGAAGCTGAGTTACATGCAGGAGACCTGAGCTTGATTCCAGAGTGAGGAGAATTCTTATCAAGTATCTCGGTTTTTCTGCTAGGATGTTGTATCCCTCTCAGCCTGGGTTGTCCCTGACTGGAAGGCTTGAGGCCTGCCTCCTGAATAATCGAAACTTTGTTGATAAAGGTGTAAAAACACTTTTTTTTTTTAACCCGTAAAAAACAGTGGTTACTGTGCTTTTGATTTATCAGGATTGCATTGTACTTCATCAAGCACTCAGTCTCAGTCTTACCCTTCTCTTCCTATTCAGGTCCTCCTTCAAACGAGACTCCTCTTCCTGTCTCTCCCTCCACTTTCTATCCTCTTCTTCCCTCCGGCGTCGGTCTTCCCTTTCCTTCTCCTCAAGCCCTTTGTCCAAACTGTTGAAGGAGAATTCTGGAGGGGTTGTGGGAGTAGGAGGGGTTGGAGGGGCAGCATTTTTCTCTCTTTCACGTTCCTCTTTCTCCCATTTCTCCCTTTTCTTTCTATCTTGCTCCGCCTTCAACTATAGAGAAGAAAAAAGACCAAAACTTTAACAATTGATATAAAAGTCATTTTTTAAAAAGTTTCATTCCTGCAAATGTAGTTGAATCTTGACAAATTATGATAGAATGATGAAAGGCGTGGGAGTTTGCACTTTAACTCTTTATCTCTGAGGGGGTAAATCCATTATGCCGGGCCCCTTTTTTGGTACAAAATCTAAAATGGACAAATGTGTCACTAAAGTGGTTATGAAATCAGAACAAGTGAACTTATTTTGATAGTTTTTTGTCTAATGAATGAACCCACGGTAAAAGAGACCTGTTTTCTGTGATGACTGAAAAGTAATTTGATGTTGAAGTCGTCATAAAAGTATGTGCTCGAGCTGCTGCCAGCGACTCACTAGCACAGCGGTTCCGACCTAGAGCCGTCGTGAGCGGCTTGCAAGAGATAAGGCATTGAGGTTCCTGCTGCTAGTTGTTTGAGCAGAAATCTTGAGTCTATGGGGGAGTTATTTTCCTGTGTCCTTTCAGCTTCGTGTATACATATGATGGAGCTATGACGGTACGATGGGAACTTCCCATTTCTTTCCTGCTCCCCTCTCATTTCTCTTTGTGGATTTACTTTTTCTCTCCATGAGTTCTCCTTCACCAAACCCATTAACTCATTCACTACGCCGAGCCGTGGCGGGCGGCTCGGCGAAAGTGCCGTCAGTACTCTAAGCCACCCCTGGCGGCTCAAGAACCGACTTCAATTTTAGCTTGGTTTCTTTTTCAATCCACATATCCATGTTAAAATAAAGGTCATAATATAAAGTTGACTTCCGGGTCAAGCGTTTCCACCGAAAATCGGAAGTTTTGATTCAGTTTTGAAACACGATTTCGAAGTTTATACAACATTGTTTTATCGCGAAGCCCAAATTATAGCCCAGACACCAGTCTTAGCACTTTTACACAACAAAATGTATAATTATTTTGCTCACTAAAGAAGTGTAGGACTCTTCTTTATAATATTGATACTACTGGACTCAAATTGCCAGTGCACTGTAATTGAGAAATCAATATTTTTGAGAGCGAGATCTAGGCCTAGATCTAAATAGTCAAAATATTTTTTTTCTCCCCAAAATCACTACTTTTTGGTGAATTTACTCAAAAAGTACCACCCAAGACATGTATAGGTTTATTCCAAATGCAATTCTGAATAATTCCATATAAGATACGAGTGTTTTTTTCTGCTTGGGATCCTTTTTTCAAAATAATTATAAATTTTTTTTGTTTCAATATCGGAGGTTATGATCCAAATGTACAAATATTATGGAATGCATGTAAATAACTGCTCATTTTTCAATATATTTCCTGTTCTATATACAGTTATGGTTATTTTGATGTATAATTTGACTAGGTGCAAACATATTTTTTGAGTTTCATCTGAGATTATAAATTTTTTGTTTTCAAATTTTATCCACAGCCAATCACAATTGTGTTGCATAATCGACTCTTACAGGAACCAAAGTTGAAAAATACTCAAAATAAACAATACAGATGTATTCTACAAACCATACTGAAAATGTTGGTATATAATATGTTGATATTTATTTGAATTTATGGCCCCCAAGACCTGTGAACTTCGCACTAGTCATCATGTCATTTCGCCCTCCCGAAAAAAAATCGTCCACAAGCGGAAAATAATACGTAGCGAATGAGTTAACAGAATTATCAGCCAGCTGAATCAGCTGCATAACAAAGAAAGTTTTGGATTGGAATCCACAGGGTAAGAGATCAAGGGGAAGACCGAGTGGTACCTGGAGAAGAATCACAGAAATCGATGTACAGAAAAGTAGGAAGATATGGAATAACATCAAGAGGCTAGCCCAGGATAGAGAAAAGTGGAAGGTGTTTGTCCATGGCCTATACCCTGGTGTAGGGTGAGAAAGGCAATGATGATGATGATAATGAATCAGTTAATATACACAGATTATTACGAACATATGTGATACAACAGACAGCCAGAGGCATACAGACGTCCCTGACCTCTTTCTGTTTCCTGAGCTCTTCCCTTCGTTTCTCAGCGTAAAACTTTGCCTTGTCCCGCGGAGTGAGGTCTGTCATCGAGGAAGCTTTTTTCTTAGTTCTTCGGATGGGAGAACCCGCTTGGGAGTCGTCCATCGTCGGCCGGTTGCTGTAGATGTTCGTTTGCTCCAAAGCTTTTTCCTTCTCCTGTCAGATACAGCACATAAGATAAAACTTAAATAACTGCAGTAGCAGGCTCTAAGAGAACTAAGTTTGAGTTTGAGTAAAGAGAAGGACATCCACACAATAACTGTCATTTAGCACTGGGAAGAACTAAGAAAGATAGACAGGAACAAGAGAGGGAAAGAAAAGAGGAAACATGGGTGGTTGGCGGGTGCTCTGGTGTGGTTTGTTTCTTCTTTCCTATCAAACATCTATCGTCTTTATCTCCCCTCCTTCTTTTTTGTGTTTGTTACTCTTGTAACACCTCTAATCTTTGACACTTATATGACCCTATTGTGTTGCAAGTGCCGTAAAACACTTACTAAAGCTAAGGAAAAGAAGTAGAACCTTCCAGTGGTGTCCTCCAACTACCCAATCTCAAAAGTAATTAAATATCTAAATCAATTAATAATGAATTGTGGCAAAAAGTAAAAATACAGTAAAAAAATTCAGCCACAGTACACAGCAAAGGCACAACAGCAGATCGCGGGTAATGAATCAGCTCAAACTCAACCAGAATCTCAAAAGAGGGGAAAGTTTAACACAACTGAAGTAAAAATCTGCTTGAAGGGAACAGTGTTTCTCAGTGCTGTTGAGCCTTAGACTTCATTTAACCCTTTAAACCCTCGCCACCAGTACACCGGTAACGTTCAAGATTGCCCGTATGCCTAGCCACCTGTACAGTGGTGAGCGAGACACTATCCTCAGCTCAGCCCGTCAAGGACAAAACACGCACCTAAAACAGTGTTTACTAAACAGTACGTTATTGATTATTTTGAGGATCGTCACGAATTGGTCGCTTTTAAGCACAAGTGGGCTATCCCGAAAAATGCTGTTTTGAGAAAATCTATAGTTTTCGCCCCTTGTTCAGTTTCTTTAAAAGACAAGGAGAGTTTTCTCTATAACCAAACATATATACACACCAATGAAACCAAACTTCTCCTATAGGTTGGGCAATGCCTACTTTTGGTGTATTAGTCAAGATTTCTGGAAATCCCCGAAATCTGGGTTAGCCCGCTTGTCCTTAAAAGCGACCAATTAGATGCTGGTTATGACGAGGGCTACCATGATTGGTGTGATGTCAAGGGACATGACTCTTATCTTTACTGTGGGAACTAGATAATTAGGGGAGTAGCACGCCCTTGGATGACGTCAAGAGATGATCATATAAATGTTAGTAATATATTGCTCAAGAGCTCAGGCAGAGGAACATGGTAGCCTCAGAGGGTCAGGGCTAAAAGGGTTTAGCACAGCAAGAGAACTCCAGGGGTGTTTGCCTACCAGAGAAATGGACCAAGAATTTATTTTTAGTTTTAGAATTAAAAAGAATTTTATGTCACTTGCAAAACAATTGGGTCATATAAAGGTTGAAGATTTGAGGTGTCACAAGAGAGTAACAAACACAAAAAAGAAGGAGAGAAAAGGATGATAAATGTTTGATAGGAAACAAGGAGCAAACCATACCAGAGCACCCACCATTCATCCACAAACATTAAAACAAAAAGTAAATATCCAAGAGAAAGTTTATTAATGAGGTTACTGTTTTCTGATATGATGCACAAACAAGAAGACACTTTGTTTGTACAGTCTGGACTCAAGGTTGGGGAGGGAAGTTTTACCAGAGTTAGGGCGTCCTTATCCATTTGAATGTGCTGCAAAATTTAACCTTTGTTTAGAAATACAGTTTGGTACAGCTAACACAAACACACAAAACTCGAAATCAACAACAGCTCGTACAATTTACCATTCCCTGACTGAAATTTCTTTAATTTTTATTTTTGGTTGACCCGAATAATGGATGTGTTCTGAACACATTTGTCACTCCTCGACACATTTGAGTTTTCCGTGCGCGACTGCTGAAATAAGGCCCATAACTCTGTTGTAGGAGTCCTCAGCTGTGACAGTGTGACCATTTTTTAACAGATGGAAATGGGAAGTGGCTAAATTAATATCTCAAGAGAGATGAGTCAGATACTTCCGTAAACAACAGCTACAATGATGATGATGGTGATGATCAAGACGCTATGTTTCTGAAGAAGCCAAAGTCAAAGAGGCGAAACATTTGAACATCTATATGAACACATCTGATTAAAAATGACTGACCCTATCCAAGTCTCAAGTATATTTTTTCTACAGTAAAACATGAGGTGGTGAGACTTTTACCTTCGTGTTTTCCCTTTCTTTGTGCTTTTACACTTGAATGTACATCTACCCCCCCCCCCCCCCCCCCCCCAATTTATTTTGTGCCACTCCTGTGTCAGCTCTCAACAAGACGTGTGACCAATTATTATAACATATATCTATACGCTCAGCCAGAAACATGGCAGTAACTATGGTGCGGTCAAAAAATCGTGTGCGACTTATTTTCAAATATCTTCTCAACTATCAAACACAGGTTCTCCAATTTTTGCACAGTGACTTGTATGAATTTGTCTTAACAGATCAACTTTTTCGTAAACACCTGCAAGCTGTATTCTAGAAAATTCCTTAATAAACACTAATAAAAAATACAAGTGAGTGGTTTCTGCACATTTTGAAATGTTTACAGCTGGGGCAATATTGCTTTTAATAGCAAGTCCGTCATGTTTTTCTAATCGGGACATTATGCTTTTTGAACGCATGTATTGAGAGCCATTAGTGCAAAAATGTGTTTACTTTAACAATAATTTCTTGTAACAAGTTTTGCAAGTAAACATTGTCATTGATGAGCTGTGACGTAGGCCATATATGCATAATCAAAATGTGTGTGAGAAGCGGGAGGTGCTGTGAACAATATCATTTTACGTGAGATAGATTTCAAGTATTTTACATAAATTTATGAAGAAAAGTTTTTTAATCTAGCCCCAATTGTTCTGGAAAAATATCATTTAGTTAAGACAAATTGATACAAACTGCTATGAAAAGTATGGATGCCATTGATTTACTCGTTAAAGAGATATTTGAGGATAAGTTGCACCACAAATTTTAGACCGCACTATAGTTAGCTTTTCTTTTTCAGAGCTTCGGCTCTTTCCGATATATCGTCCATATAATAATAAATAAATAGCATTTGTATAGCGCATATCCCCGCTCAACAGCAGGCTCTATGCGCTTTACACTATATTATTACCCCAGCAGACCATAGAACACTCCGAAACATTCTCAGCTTCCCGGGAAGCATACAGTGAGAGCAGCTGATTATGCGCTCAAACACTAACAAACTGACAAGATCTTTCGCTGTCTATAGCCGAGTACCCATTCTCACCAGGGTGAAGTGACGAAAATTCGTGTAAAGTGCCTTTCCCAAGGACACAATGTCGGGCCCCTGACGGGATTCGACCCCCACGACCTTACGGTTGCGAGTCCGAGAGCCTAACCACTAGGCCACCGACCATTTCGTAACTTATAGTGAATGCTTTTTTGTTATGGCGTTGTAACTCACTTTTTAAAATATCAGACACTGTGTCCCTTCAGAAGCCCAAGGGGCCAAACGATGAACATCTATAAGAACATCTGATTAAATATTATCAACCCTATCCAAGTCTCAAGTATATTTTTTCCACTGTAAAACATGATGAAGATCAAGATGGTAATGATGATGAGTTGACTAGGATGATGAGGTGATGAGAATGACTAAGATTATGATTGTGATGTCGACAATGATGACAAGTAAAAGCAAAATGCTGTGATAAAAGAAATGAAACTTAAAAGTTATTCAGTGGAAATGAATGCTAACGGCGGCTCACGATATCAAACTATGGGAGAGCACAAAAGGTGAACAATGTCCTTTGAAACAAACGCTGTGAATCTAGTTCTGGGGGTGCGGCAAAAACTGGGACTCATACCCAACATAAACATATATACAGGTACAGCTAATCCTATAGCACAACATAAACTCCTACATTCAAGTCGCCTGAAGGCTGTCAAATAAAAAGTGACTGACCAACGCTCAGAAGAAAATGTCAAATATACAAAAACACAAATCAACAGGAAATAAATGTTTAAAAATTTTTAATGACGAAAAAAAAAAGAAGTCAAGAATTAGAACCACAAAAAATAAAGACCAGAAAAAAAAGTACAGAAGAGACAAGACGGATAATCTGAGGGAGCCACGAGTGAGGAGAACAGAAGTCTGCGCAAACATACAAAACTGTGACTTAAGTCAAACAAATGAAACAAAACTGGAGAAGTAAGCAAAAAGCAACAAAGATGGGGGGGGGAGGATAGGAAATATCGTCACCAGTGACAAACGTTGCTTCTTTTCCCTTTCAGACACAAAGCCCTGGAACAGAGAGTTAGAAAACCTGGCCACATTGACAGGACAACGACAGCAGGGAGGAGGAGGAGTGAGAGGGGAAATTTTCAGTGAGAGGAGACAGCAAGAGAAACTTTATCAAGTAATTTACATTATGTATGAGGCATGAGCGCCACACTCACATTTATCCCAATCACAGAAGGCAGCTCTTACTCTGACAAAGTGTGAGAAAGGCAATAGTACATAACACTTTACTTTTTTTTAAAGTATTTGTATTATCATCATTTTTAATGCAAAAAGTCTTATTTTAGAGCCCTGATCTGCATTCACGTCCTCAAAATCTTTTTTCAAAGTAGATGATGGACAAATAGCATCAGTCAAAAACACAATTGTTTTGTCTCTGAGCAGTTAAGAATATTTCTAAATGAAAAAAAACAAACTTCCATGGTCTTACCTTGAGTTGTGTGGACAGCTTTCCGTTCTGTTCCTCCATGTCATCCACTTGCCTCTTCATTTCCTTCAACCTGGCAGCCTCAATGCCCAGCTCATGACGATGATTTTTCTTGAGCACTTCGAGGTGCCGTTGAAGTTCCTAGATACAGAACACAAACATAACACTCATCATGTCCATAGTATCTTAGTAATGGGTTAATTTCTTCTCCTTTCCTTTTCTTCTTCCTCCTCTTCTTTACAGTTATCAAAAGCGTTGAGTACACAAATTCTTCAGCAAGACAATTCACTTTTAACATAATGTAAGCCCTGGAGCTGTGTTCACACGGGAGTGGGCGCAATAGAAATGATCTTTATTATTATTATAACTGATGAATCTTTGCAAACATTACCAAATCTTTTTTCTCCTCCCTCTAACAGTTCCAACAACTCAATGAATCAACATTTGTTTAATTCTTAGTTGTAGTGAGTCAGTAAGTGCCAGTATGTTTCGTTTTTACCGCTGTCCTTATGTGTATACAATCGATGTATGGTTAGGAAAGTTCCTCTTTGTGTGGTTGAACTGGATTTCTTGTTAATGTGAAATGTTTCATCTTGTGTGTATGAAATATTACGCTCAGTGATCATGTGATCGGTGTAAAGGGCTCAGAGATTATACTTATATGGGACAGAGCGCTATATAAATGAAATGTATCACAACGCGGTGGAATCAGGCACTCATCAATTTTTAGACATGTGGAGTTATAGGTATCATCTGAAAGCTTGTTAATTTGCCTTGCTTTCAACGGAAAAAAATCCCCATTTATCTTGAAAAGAAATCCAGGATATTTGCAATTAAAGAAAATGGTTCCAGTGATAAAATAAGCAAGGAAATGGCCGCCAAAGTTTGGTTACTTTAATAGCTTGAGATTCCTTGAAAACTTAAAAATCATATATTTTTTTGCAATTAATCAACGTTTTTCAGTAAATTTCACATGGAAATGTGTTTTTATATGAACATTTTATTATTTTGACGAGAGCCTGATTTCACCAGGATACCTCAAAAATCTATTATTATTACCACATGGTAACAAGGTAGTCTCCAAAGCAATGGTACAGAAAAAGACATCTCTCTCTCTCTCTCTCCATCTCTCTCTCTCTCTCTCTCTCTCTCTCTCTCTCTTTCTCCCTCTCTGTCCTCACCTTAATTTTGACATCCTTCTCCTCCATGTCGATCTCCGCTCGGGTCAGCTTACGGCTCAGCTCGTCTCTCTCTTTTAAGTCTTTCTCCTCCACTATTTCTTTGTACTTCTTCATTCTCTTCTTCACTTTTTCCAACTCATCCTCGGCGTCTCGAAGGTAGCGATCTGATTTCTCATACTTCTCCCGAAGCCGTCTGTTCTGTTCTTTCAAAGATCTGAAAACAAACCACAGGCCCAAATAAAAATTGTCTTTGGGCCAATGTGGACTTGAGACTAGCGCCCTCACATCTCAAAATCAAGAGTCTCTACGATTATTGATTTCGCTTCTCCATTCCATCCAGCAAAAACTAACAAAGAGGGGGGGGGGTTAGGAAATATCACAGATGACAAACTTTTCTGACAAAATGCCCCGGAAAAGACAGATACCACTGGGACTTTGTGAAAATATCTGAACATTTACAGAGTTCCATTTGAAAACAAAAAGATAATAGATGAACACATAGAAAACAAATTTAATGCTTAGTATAATAATTGTTCTTCAAAGGAAAATAATGGGACTCCCCCCCCCCCCCTCCCGTCCTGTTCCTGAAAAGCGAGCAAGATCTCCTGGCCAGATTGACACCAGAACACCATGAAGGCAATTGACACTGGACCACACTGACCAGACTGACAAAAGGACCCTAAAGAAATAGCTCACACCAGACCATACTTATATATTACACTGACCACACTGACCAGAGGACACGACACAGCTGACACTGGACCACACTGACCAGACTGACAAGAGGACCCTAAAGAAATAGCTCAAACCAGACCACCATACTTATTACACTGACCACACTGACCAGAGGACACGAGACAGCTGACACTGGACCACACTGACCAGACTGACAAGAGGACACTAAAGAAATAGCTCACACCAGACCATACTTATATATTACACTGACCACACTGACCACACTGATCATACTAACAAGACTGACCAGAGGACACCACAGATGAAACAACTGACACTGGACCACACTGACACACTGACAAAATTGAAACACTGGACCACACTGACAAACTGACCAAACTGACACACTGACCAAACTGACACACTGACAAAACTGACACACTGACAAACTGACCTGGACGAGACTGACACACTTGACCAGACACTGACCTGACTTCGTTGTTGTGCTTGTCCAGGATGCTGGGTAGGTCGTTCTCCTTCTCCTCAAATGTCTTGAGAGCCTTCTCCTGTCGGAACTGCATCTTCTTGTACAGCCTATTCTCCTGGTCCAGGTCCTTCAGTCGGATCTTCATCTCCTCCACCTGGGAGAAATTGTCACGGTAATAATCACAATCATTTCGTACATGTAACAACCATCTCGTACATGTAACAGTTATTTCATCTCCTCCACGTGGAGGAAATTATAACGACAATAGTCGTATATATATATAAATATCCATTCATCTCCTCCATCTGGGGAAATTGTCACAGTAATAATAGTACATGTAACAATCATTTCGTACATGTAACAATCATTTCGTACATGTACCAATCATTTCGTACATGTAACAATCATTTCATCTCCTCCACCTGAAGAAAATCGTTAGGGTAATAATCGTACATGTAACAATAATTTCCTACATGTAACAATCATTTCGTACATGTAACAATAATTTCATCCCCTCCACCTGAGGAAAATTGTCACGGTAATAGAATTGTCACGGCTGTTAGGAAGTGGTACTTTAGTTCGCAGGCAGCCAGCGCCCCGCATTTTGTAATCTGACCCCGGTCACAGGGTCATGAACTCCTGGCAAGGGGAATTCCCCGCTGACAGCATTGTTTATTTCATTTTTAGGATAATTAAACTTGCAAAATACGCCGATCGGTGACTTTATCGTCTTTTTATTTTGCCCGTTTGGAACAAGAGGGAACTTCTGCACCCACTGAGAAAGATGCAAAATTGTATGAAATAACGATAAATATATATAGCGTTACAAAAAATGCTCATATTTCAGCATTGCCCTTGGGGGGGGGGGGGGTATATTTTAAAATCAAATTTCAATTAATCAAACCTTAAACATTACTTCAAATTCACCTAAAATACATCAGAAATGGTCAAATATCAAAACTCACTTAATTGTTTTTCTGGGAAGTCCACAGTTTTGGAGTAGTGAAGAGTTGATTGCACTATCACCTTTTTTCTATGTCGGAGGCGCGTTAGATAAAAGTTCTGAATTTGACAAGAGGTGCTGAGATTGCACGACAACTTTCAGCTGCTGTTAAATATTGCGTATCCCAGCTCCTCTTCTCTCTAGCTTTGCCACAGAAGCATGGATGAGTTCACCACATCCTGTTCCCCATGTAAAGCCAAACCAAACCCATAAGTTTGTATTCACAGGATGCAGTGGTTTTCGAGAATGTGGTGTTTGGGAAGTACCTTTTCATTAAAGTGTCTCCTGTGGAATGACATGTAAGTTTTGATGCATGTGTCAATGTGTGGTAGTGGTAGTCTGTCTTTTGACACTGGTTGACCGTGTGAGATGTGGATGTGAAGGTCCCTAAATGTGTTGTTTAATTGATTGAATTCTTCTCTGAGAGTGTAAGAGGTGTCAATTATATTTTGATAGTGGGTGTTTTTTTACTGTTTCTTTTACAATAAATGCCGTGAGGTCCTTATAAACGCGACTCATGATGTATTTGTGGCAGTGATCGCTAATGAAAGAGCGGCTGTCGTATGCCTGCGGTGTGATGTTGTGTGAGTTTAGTATGGCGTCTAAATGAGAACAGATAGGGCTAGTCCTAGGGCTAAGGGGTTCATGCTCTAACTCAGACAACCTGTCTTCTTTCTCCATCAGTTGGTTCTGAAAGTTACTTCTCTCCTCCTCAGAATCAGAAAGTACTAAGCAATGTTCTAAATGTCTAATCTCCCCTTTTAGTTTCTCCCCACGCGTAGTGATGACGAGAGAGAGAGAGAGAGAGAGAGAGAGAGAGAGAGAGAGAGAGAGAGAGAGGGACAGAGAGAGAGAGGTGTGCAACTGAACCCTGCTTCTTCACAAACTTTGCGTCTCTATGGTGCCTTGACTCTCTTCAGTTCGTTTGCATGTTCTGCGATGATGCTGTCATTGGATGTGCCTTCAGTGATTTCCCTTACAACAGAAACTAATTTGGCTGTCTTTCGTTTTGTGCTTGTTTTTTCCTGTGCTAATTGTTTCCTTAGTTTCTTTAGTCGTGCTACAAGTACTGACTGCCCTCCTGTTTTGCATTCAAACGTGTTTGTTTTTGAGTTATGCAATTTTCGTCTCACAAAACTTGTGAGTAGTTTTTCTTCAGCTTTATCTAGCGGCTGTGAAAGTGATTTTTGTAAAGATTCATGAAAGTATCTGTCAGTTTTGAAAGCAGGTGATGTATTCATGTCTGCTACATTTGGTTTGGGTTTGGCTGGTGTAGAACAAGCAATAGGGCGGGGTGGGGGTCCCATCAAAGGTGCCTCCATCGTGTTAGTGTCACCATCTCCTCTGTCAGCCTCTATCGATTCGTTCACTGTGTCAGTGAGTCCTACTGTGTTATCTCCTGGTGTTGTCGTGTCACTGTGTATCGTATCTGGATTGAGTGTGTATGCACTCACATCTGTATCAGCCTCTAATGATTCGTTCACTGTGTCAGTGAGTCCTATTGTGTTGTCTCCTGGTGTTGCCGTGTCACTGTGTATCATATCTGGAGTGAGTGTGTGTGCACTCACATCTGTGTCAGCCTCTATTGATTCGTTCACTGTGTCAGTGAGTCCTACTGTGTTGTCTCCTGGTGTTGCCGTGTCACTGTGTGTTGTATCTAGCGTGAGTGTGCGTGACTGTGCACTCACATCTGTGTCAGCTTGTGATGATGCCGTTGTGTCTGTACAAATGGAATCTGATGATATTGTTGTGTCTGGTGTGCATTCTTTGGAGATTGAAGCTATCTGTGCGGGGCTATCCTTTTTGATCTGGTTGCCCAAAGAAGTCTCATAATGCCACAGGCATGTGGGGCAGCTATCAGTTGGCAACGTTGGGTCATACTGGCACCAAATATGGCTACTTCTTTCGGCGAGTTCCCTTGCCCGTGTTAAAGTGCCCTGATAGCAATGTTTCTTTATATGTCTTATCTTGTCCACGCAAGATTTGCAGATGGTGTTTGAATGTACTGTCTGTGAGTCCGTTGTAATGCTAACACCAAAGGCCAAGAGAATGTCCGACGCAAATTTAGAACTCTGCAGGGGTCGCCTTTTCTCTGCCTTCTGCTTGACTGACAGTGTTCTGCCACCACAAGTTCTGCAAAGTTCGTGCAGCTTTTGAACATGCGAATCCTCTGTATGTTTCTCCATTTCTTAACAGGGATTAAATATTCCAACAAATCGATAAGAGAAATGTTGGAAAAATAACACGATATTTTAAAGAAGAGAAATGAAAGAATACGTCCGAGTTAATCACGCACAAGGAAAGGGGTACCCTTTAAAAAAAAAAAATCGTATATAATCACACATTCACTTCCCACAAATAACACTTGCTCACACAATTCAAATACGAAGTCCATTCACATATCACTGTCCCAAGGGAAGCAGAGAGATTTCGTGAAAATCTGAGTTTGGCTTTAGAGAAGATAAACTCCAAAATGAAATATACTTTAAAAGGCAACTTTAGGTTAACAAAACACTTGTACTGCGAAGTGCGTAAATGCTATAACACCAGTGAGGTTTCCGGAGCGAAAGTGGGACCGTCTTGTTAGTATTAAGACGATCTTTAAAATGAGGCATCTAGGTTCATTAGATGGGGAGAAATAACAAGGGAAAGTGATACAAAAATTGCGGGAACCCAATACGCAGGCACGGCGGCGGGCATCGCTATCGTCACGGTTGTTAAGCACGGGAGTGGCCGACCGACACCGACTGACACTGATTTATTACCTTCGTGCAGGAGCGGGAGGTCAGACCGGGGCTCGGCCACCAACTAAAAATTACCACGAGAGGCCAGCGAGCTTGAACCACTTTCAGTGGGGTTTTAACAGTCGTGTCCTACACGTAAC